AGGACATTCAAACCCACAGCACTAAGTTCTGGTCTTGTTGCCAGGGGCCATCGATCTGACACCTGACTCACTGTTGATCTTTCTTTCAAACAGCGTTCCCACTTTGTTCTTCACCCAGTGGTCACAGCACAGCCCACTGACTCCAGGGTCAAGTTCCAGCTGCCTTCCCTCACCTCCACCCACTTCTCTACCACATCAGTCCCAGACTCGGCTCCCAGATCCGCTGCCACAGTCACGGGCCCCTCTTGCCTGAGAAGTCGCTGCGGATGTGTCATTCCTGTAGACAAACCAAAAACACAGAAAAGGAAGGAAAAGTTCAAAGGGGTGTCTCCTCGGAGGGTTAAGCAGAGGACACACAGAACAGTGTCAAAGGACAAAACCACATCAATTCAGTTTCAGGATCTTAAATGGCTTAACTTTTCATCCTAGAATCGAGCAACGCTTCATTCTATAAAGCAGAATGAAGAAGTGCTCTGATGAGCTGAGAAGAGATTGGTTTCATAGACAGGAAAGGACTGAAGAAAGCAGAAACAAAAGCAAAGCGAGGAGTAGCCCTCAGCTCTCAGAGGACGCAGTCGGAAGGTGCAGAGTCAGATCCACGGATGTTGCAAGCGCCAGGTCTGCTATGCAGGATGCAGGAGCCAATGCCATGCCTGGCTCAGGGCTGCTGGCCGAGGGTCCACAGTGTCTCCGGCTCCAAAGAGGATGCGCTAGGAAGAGCCCGGGCGAAAAGACCAGGAAGGTACTAGGTGCAGCTGAAAGGGTGGCTGGGGAGACCCCTCTGGACGCTAAGTTGTGGCCGCTGGTCACAGAGAATCACTTCTCTGGGTTAAAAGAGAGAATTGGTGGTCATGGTGATCGGTCGTGGTGAGTCAAAAATAAGAGATACAGAGTGCAACAAACACCAAAATACACATAAGAAAAGGAACTCCTGAAGCAGAAGTAAAAAATTTTAGCATCAAAGCGATGCAGACAAAAACAAAAGTAAAAGATGAATTTGTAAAATAAATAAAGAAAATTATAATCTAAGTCACAGAGTTGATTTATCTCGAATTAAGAAAAACTTTTTTTTAGATTTGTTTGTTTATTTGAAAGGTAGAGTTACATAGAGAGAGAATCTTCCATCTGCTGGTTCACTCCCCAAATGGCGGTAATGGCTGGAGATGGGCTCATTCAAGCCAGAGCCCTGAGCTTTTTCCAGGTCTCTCACGCAGGTGCATGGGTCCAAAGATTGGGCCATCTTCTACTGCTTTCCCAGGTCAGAGCAGAGAGCCAGGTTGGAAGTGGAGCAGCCAGGACTCGAACCGGTGCCCATATGAGATGCTGGCATCACAGACGGCAGCTTTACCCACCACATCAGTATCCATCCCAAGAAAAACTTTAATGTGAGGTCAGAATAAAATAAGCTCGATGACACAAGAGCAAATAGACAACTGGAGGAAGGAAAGTTGTAATGTAATATGTGATGACTTGAAAGGTAAGAAATGTTCTGGACCCAGTGTTACCTGTTGATTTGAAGATGCCTTCCAAACTTATCCTGAAGTCATGAAAAATATTTAAAAAGCAGGGTTTTTAAAAACCAGCACCAGTTCCATTGCAGGCAAAGGAATACATGTCATAGGAGTAGCCCAACTTGGAATGGGAAGACATTGTCCCATTTAATGTCTGGATTTCTTCATCTAGGCTGTCAACCAATTGGTAGAGAGAAAAGAATATTGTTAGTCCTTACACAGCTGTTCAGATGCAAGCTTAACGTTCTAACTATTCGTACAAAAATCATAGAAATGTTTCTATATAAGGTGGTGCAGATAGATACACAAATGTAAGCTGTTTCAAAAGGCATAGAAACCCGAGCTGTGGAGTAGCGGGTAAAGCCACTGCTGGCACAGGCATCCCATATGGGCACCAGCTCAAGTCCCAGATGTTCCACTTGTGATCCAGCTCTCTGCTATGGCCTGGGAAAGCAGTAGAAGATGGCCCAAGTCCCTGGGCCCCTGCACACATGCGGGAGACCCAGAAGAAGCTCATGGCTCCTGGCTTCAGATCAGTGCAGCTCTGGCCGTGGCAACCATTTGAGGAGTGACTAGCAGATGGAAGACCTTTCTCTCGCTTTCTGCCTCTGTAACTCTGCCTTTCAAATAAAGAAGTAAATCTTAAATGAACAAACAAACAAATAAATAAATAAATAGCATAGACATCATTACTGCAACTCCAAAAAGACTAAATGATCTACAGGCCGCGCCATGGCTCACTTGGCTAATCTTCCGCCTGCAGTGCCAGCACCCTGGGTTCTAGTCCCAGTTGGGGCACTGGGTACTAGTCCCAGTTGCTCCTATTACAGTCCAGCTCTCTGCTGTGGCCAGGGAAGGCAGTGGAGGATGACCCAAGTGCTTGGGTGCCTGCACCCGCCTGGGAGACTGGGAGGAAGCACCTGGCTCCTGGCCAGGTAGCAGCCATTAGGGGAGTGAACCAATGGAAGGAAGACCTCTCTCACTGTCTATAACTCTCTCTCTGTCTCTCTTTATTAAAAAAAAAAAAGACTAAATGATCTACAAATGAATAACTTCCTCAAACTCAAGAGCATGATCCACTTGGTTTTACGAAGCAGACAAGATTTTTTTTAAAGATTTATTTATTTATTTGAAAGGTAAAGGTACAGAAAGGCAGAGGCAGAGAGAGAAAAATCTTCCATCTGCTAGTTCACTCCCAAAATGGTCACAATGGCCTGAGCTGCACCAATCCAAAGCCAGGAGCCAAGAACTTCTTCCTGGTTTCCCCTGTGGGTGCAGGGACACAAGGGCTTGGGCCATATAGTACTGCTTTCCCAGGCCATAGCAGAGAGCTGGATCAGACTTGGAGCGGCTGGGACTCAGACTGATGCCCACATGAGACACTGGCACCACAGGTAGTGGCTTTACCTGCTATGCCACAGCACCAGCCCCATCAGCAGACAAGATGTTGAACCTGGGATTTGAACCCCAGATACTGAAGATTTTATTAGACATGTGCCCCAGTAGGCAGATAATTATGACAAGCCCAACCTGGCCATCTGGTGTCCAACAACTTGCACAGACTTGAAAGAGCCAATGACTGTGCATGTTAGAAACTTGGACCAAGTTGTTGTAAGTACAAGAAAGCAAAAATATAATCATCACCATGGAAGAAGAGAAATGAATGCCTCTACAAAAGTACCTAGAAAATAGGTCACCTAAAGGCAAAGTCACAGTCTTTGTCAGTGGAGGAGCTATGACCTATCATTCATCAAGTGACCTAGTCCTCCTACACTTACCAGTAGAATCTGCATTGCAACAGAGAACAAAGTGATCAGGAGAAAGCATGAAAGAACTTTAAAACAGGCAAAGTGAGAATATTAATTGCTACTGATTTAATGTGGATTGAATGTCCATGATATTAGGCATGTCTATAATTATGATTTTCCATGGAACATTTAAGAATATATACAGAGTAGCGCACACTGGAAGAACAGGAAGAGATGGGTGGCAGTTACCCTCATCACTAGAAATGATTGGAGGACTGCCGCTGAACTGATTAATATTCTGGGAAGAGCAAATCAGAGTATCCCAGAGGAGCTTGTATCAATGGCTCAGAGAAACAAAGCAAGGAAACTGAAAAGAGAAATGAAAAAAAAAAATTAGGAAGACCTGAAAGAAAACCCAAATGTTTTATTAATGGGCCAGCGCTGTGGCATAGGAGATAAAGCTGACTCCTGCAGGGCTAGCATCCCATATGGGCACTGGTTCAAGTCCTGGCTGCTCCACCTCAGATCCAGCTCCCTGCTGTGGCCTGAGAAAGCAGTAGAAGATGGCCCAAGTGTTTGGATCCCTGCACCCATGTCGGAGATCCGAAGAAACTCCTGGCTCTTAACTTCGGATAGGTGCAGCTCCACCCGTTGCAGCCAATTGGGGAGTGAAGCAGTGGATGGAAGACCTCTCTCTCTCTCTGCCTCTCCTTCTCTCTCTGTGTAACTCTGACTTTTAAATAAATAAATATTTTAAAAAAAAAAGAGAGAGGGGCAAAATTTTACCTACTAGGCTTTCAAATGCTTGCCTATGTAAACTAGACTTTGTTAGTGTTTATTGCAATCAGTATTATCTAAGTCTTTCTTTAATTATTAGGCATTAATTCTCCAACCAATTGCCCAAAGCCTAATGTATGTTCAGAATTAGAAGTACTAATTTAGAGTTGAGAAAATATCAAGTTGTACAGAAAGGTCCTTACAGCACAAAAGTTGATAGAGGTAAACTTGGTAAAACATCTTCTGAGAAACTTGGTAATATGTCAGTGGTAAACATATTTGCCTTCTGATACAGCAGTTATTCTAGGAATGTATTCTTTTATTTTATTTTGATAGGTAGAGTTAGACAGTGAGAGAGACAGAGAGAAAGGTCTTCCTTCCATTGGTTCACCCCTCAAATGGCCGGAGCTACGCCGATCCGAAGCCAGGAGCCAGGTGCTTCATTCCTGGTCTTTGACGCGGGTGCAGGAGCCCAAGCACTTGGGCCATAGGAATGTGTTTTATAAATATGTCAGTTTACAAGAGATGTAAAGCAATGTTACACTGGCTAAAGAATTTAACAAATGTCTGGCAGGGGAGCTACATGAATAAACTACAGGTATATTGGATATGCTATGCATCTGTTGAAAATCATGTGGGCCTGTTACTGGAGAAATGCAGGGTTCTTGTCTTCGTGCAAGAAAGAATTCAGGCATGAGACAGAGTAGTGGAAAGTAAAATAGCAAGGTTTATTAGGGAAGGGACATCTGTAAGAACAGATGGGCACCTCTGCAGACAGGACCTGAGAGAGAGTGCCCACTCGCTCAGACTGGGGGTGGGGAGCGAGGTTACAAGGTTGAGTGGAGAGAGTACACCTGGCCAGGCAGGCGGGCAGCTCAGCAGAGAGGCAGAGGGCTGAGCAGGCAGTCCGGTTGAGGCCGGCGCGCGCGCGGGGGGGGGGGGGGGGGGGGGGGGGGGTCTTGCTTCCCTACCTCTGCTCCTCTTGGAACAAAGGGCTTTTTGGATGTAAATAGAAAAACTTCTATCTGAGTTTTTTCTTGAAGGTCTGAAACAAAGGACTTTATATATGCAAATGTTAAGAAGCTCCTCCCTGAATTTTCCCTCCTCCTGAAACAAAGGACTCTATGGATGCAAATGTTATCAGACAGGAGGAAGGGTGAGCAGGACCCCTAGAGAATTGGGATCCAGAGCAGGGTGTTTGAAATGCAGATACTGGGCTGCGCCTGGGAGATTGTGGAAGATTTGTCAGGCAGAAGGGGTGGGGACCCCACCTGGCAGGTTATCAGGTAGAAGGGGGCAGGGCAGGATGCGAATACTGGGCTGCCCCTGAAACATTGTCAGGATGGCTTTGAGATGTAGATGCATATGCTGGACATTGTTACACACATATAAGCTCATATCTGACTTCCTACCTAACAGGCCATCTTCCACTGCTTTCCCGGGCCATTAGCAGAGAGCTGGATCGGAAGTAGAACACCCAGGACACGAACCGGTGCCCATATGGAGTGTCAGCGTCACAGGTGGAGGCTTAACCTACTAAGCCACAGCACCAGACCAGTAAATCTATATGTTATGAAATATTTCCATAATAAAATTCAATGGGCTAACCAAATAAACAAATAAATAAGCAGATGGCTCATTTCCTAGTTACTTTCTCTGTAAGGTAGGGCAAGCAAGACAGAATAATGGGGAAATTAACTGATTTGTTAACATAAAGTTACTTCTTTTGTGTAAGAATTAAAGCAGAGGGAACTTCATTATCATGACAGTTGAAACTGGTCTGTTTGGAAAGTTAGCCTGTTTTGTCTCCAATCCTGATTTCTGAGAGATCAATTTAGTTTTTGCTTGGTGAAATGGAACTTTATTTTTTTATTTTTAAAAATTTATTTGCTTATTTGAAAGGAAGAGTTACAGAGAGGGAGAAAAAGATGAAATGAAATGAAAGATCCTCTTTCACTCTTCAAATGGCTGCAACAGCCTGGAACCTGAAACTCCATCAGGGTTTCACATGTTGGTGGCAGGGGCCCAAGCACTTGGGCTATCAGCTGCTGCTTTCCCAAGTGCATTAGCAAGGAGCTAGATCAGAAGCCGAGTAGCTCCTATGGGCGTTCACATGGGATGCCAGCATTACAGGCAGTGGCTTAACCCGCAGCTCCACAACACCAGCTCTGTTACTGAACTTCAGCATGCGTGACTCCATTTTGATTTCTTGCCTGGTCTATTGAGACCCAGTGTAGGAGCTCAATCCAAAACAATGACTTCATGTAATTTTTACTTTACAGAACAAGTTACAATTTTTGTGCTTCAGAGCTGAAGCAGTAAGATTCTTTTTGCTCTAATATTGATAGAATCTAAAATTAAAGTTGCTTTCTGGCCAACCTGTAACAACTCATACTAATATTCAGTAAAAGTTGCACGAGGTCATTGTTTTGAACAAAGTTCCTGCACGAAACCCCAACGGACCAGGCTGAAAATCAAAATGGAATCAATGACATTAAAGTTGCACCAAGTTGAATCCAGGCTGTTTCTCTGACTTTCTGAGAAAATAGGATTAGAGAGGTAACGGACAAGTTTCCTACACAGACTAGTAATTTATATGATCATAACCTCCCTCTGCTTCAGTCTGTAGGACCCCAAAAGCGGTGTCCTTTTGTGACGACCCCAGAAACACAGACTCCAGACCAGAGGATGCAAAAGGCAGGAGGCAATTTTATTTCATTTGCGCAAATGGACCCTCTACTGCTGCAAGCAGGGAGCAAGAGAGAGGAGCCCTGAACAATCATTTTACACAGTTTTTAAAGGGCAAAACCACAAAATTAACATACTATAGGGTGGCGTAAGTTTATTGGGCAACTACAAGGGGAGGAGGTCGTCGAGGAGGAGGAGAAACAGGGGGCTACGTGCCCTACATGTCTAAGCTTGGATATGGGGAGGGGGTCCTTGAAGAGCAGAAAGGGGTGGCTACGTGCCCTACGTGCCTCGCGGTTTCTTTGTTAAGCTTGAACAAGCACAGGGGAGGGGGCTTAGGTGCGTACCAGGATGTTCTGTCGCCCTTATCTCTGGGTAGTAGCCCTTATCTCTGGGTAGTAGCTATCTGCCGTCTCTGTGAACTTACTCCCCATTTCCCAGGACTGTTTTATTAAGGCCATTCTTATGGTGGCTCTTGGCTCTCGGCCATTCCTTTCAAGTCAAGGTTAAGAAATTTAACATTTAACATTTATCAGTTATTTTCTTGTTCTTGTCACGCTGTTCCCCCCTTAGAAGAAAGGTGACTTTTACGTGACAAATCTGCTTTTATGCTTCTTTTGCTTTTACTTTATTCAGCCTATTTCTGTCTATTAAACCAACCTCCTTTTTTCTTCACATCAGAACACTCATCCTATTTTATGGAATAAAATGTTGCCCATTTCATGAATAGAAAACAAAGCAGGGCTGGCACTGTGGTGCAGCAGGTTAGAGCCCCATATGGGTGCTGGTTCTAGTTCCGGCTGCTCCACTTCCAATCCAGCTCTCTGCTATGGCCTGGGAAAGCAGTGGAAGATGGCCCAAGTCCATGGGCCCCTGCACCCACATGGGAGACTCAGAGGAGGCTCCTGGCTCCTGGCTCCGGATCGGTGCAGCTCTGGCCATTGCAGCCAATTGGGGAGTGAACCAGCGGATGGAAGACCTCTCTCTCTGCCTCTCTTTCTCTCTGTATGTAACTCTGACTTTCAGATAAATAATAAATAAATAAATCTTTAAAAAAAATAAGATCTTTAGGGGCCCAGCAGGTTAAGACCTTGCCTGTGACACCAGCATCCCATGTAGGAGCACAGTTTGAGTCCTGGCTGCTGTACTTCCAATCCAGCTCCCTGCTAAGTGCCTGAGAAGGCAGAGGAGGATAGTCCAAGTACTTGTGTTACCGGAAAAAATGCAGGGTTCTTGTCTTCCTGCAAGAAAGAATTCAGGCGTGAGACAGAGTAGTGGAAAGTAAAAGTAGCAAAGTTTATTAGGGAAGGGACATCTGTAAGAACGGATGGGCACCTCTCCAGACAGAACCTGAGAGAGAGTGCCCACTCACTCGGACTGGGGGTGGGGAGCGAGGTTACATGGTTGAGTGGAGAGAGTACACCTGGCCAGGCAGGCGGACGGCTCAGCAGAGAGGCAGAGGGCTGAGCAGGCAGTCTGGTTGAGGCCTGGGGTTTTTAAGGAGATGGGTCTTGCTTCCCCACCTCTGCTCCTCTTGGAACAAAGGGCTTTTTGGATGTAAATAGAAAAACTTCTATCTGAGTTTTCTCTTGAAGGTCTGAAACAAAGGACTTTATAGATGCAAATGTTAAGAAGCTCCTCCCTGAATTTTCCCTCCTCCTGAAACAAAGGACTCTATGGATGCAAATGTTATCAGACAGGAGGAAGGGTGGGCAGGACCCCTAGAGAATTGGGATCCAGAGCAGGGTATTTGAAATGCAGATACTGGGCTGCGCCTGGGAGATTGTGGAAGATTTGTCAGGCAGAAGGGGTGGGGACCCCCCCACCTGGCAGGTTATCAGGTAGAAGGGGGCAGGGCAGGATGCGAATACTGGGCTGCCCCTGAAACATTGTCAGGATGACTTTGAGATGTAGATGCATATGCTGGACATAGTTTTCTCTTTAGGCCTGTTACACACACATAAGCTCATATCTGACTTCCTACCTAACACTTGGACTCCTGCCACCCAAGTGGGAGACCCAGATGAAGTTCCTGGCTCCTGGCTTCAGTCTTGCCCAACCCCCACTGTTACAGACATTAGGGTTGAACCAGTGGATGGAAGATCTATTTCTCTCTGTTTCTCCTACCCCCCCCTTTCAGTAACTGCCTTTAAATAAATAAATAAATCTTTTAAAAATTTTTTTAAATTATTGTAATTTTGTTTTTGGACACTAACATGTGGTTACCTAAAATGCTGAAAGCATTTTTTTATAGCCACCCATGAGTACTCACTGGACACCTGACAAATCTCATTCTCTGGTTCTGCCTTGGTCATCGACAATGTTCATTGATCACCTATTGTACTAGGACTGAGTCAGCCTCGTGGATACAGTGGCAGTCAAAAGTGTCCTTGCTTTCACTGATTTGCCATCTACCAGAAATAAGGAATTCAGATTAAAAAGTCATTTAAACACCTCTGCAGGGACACATTTAGATGAAAGAAACAGGCCTATTAAGTTTTGGAGTGGCGAATTCAACAAGGCAGGAAGCTCCAATCACTAGGCAAATGAGTCTGAGTCATTTGGGTTATAGGGTCAAACACCTCAGGGGAGTTTTACCTGAGAGAATCCTGAGAATCCCCTGGCTTCAAGATCATTCAGTGGGACTGTATTCAAGGTTTTTCTTCATTCAGCTCCAGACAACCGTGTCTTCCTTTAAATCAACCACTTGTCACTTTATTCATTCAACAAACATTACTGAGTCTGACTATAGTTCAGGTTCCATGCCAGGTGTTGGAGATACAGATGAATAGGATCTTTGCCATTAACAAACTAAAAGTTTAACAGAGGAGACAGACACATGACAACAGAAAATAAAACAAAAGCAAAACAATGTTTGAGAAACAAGTTCTAATGGCACAGAGGCCTCAACCAGAGAGCTGGATCCACCATTTACAAGCTCGGTCATTGTTTTTTGTTTGTTTGTTTGTTTTGTTTTTTTTTAAATTTATTTATTTTACTTGAAAGGCAGAGAGAGAGAGAGAGAGAAAGAGAGAGAGAGAGAGAGAGAGAGAGAGAGAGAAAGAGATCTTCCATCCATCTGCAGGTTTGCTCCACAAATGGCCACAGTGATCAGAGCTGGGGTAGCCTGAAGTCAGGAGCCAGGAGCTTCTTCCAGGCCTCCCACATGGGTGCAGGAATCCAAGGACTTGAGCCATCTTCTATTGTTTTCCCAGGCACATTAGCAGGGAGCTGGATCAGAAGTGGAGCAGCCAGGACTCGAACCTGGGCATGCATGGGATGCTGGTGCTGCAGGCAGCGGCTTTACGCACTATGCTACAGTGCCGGCCCCACAAGCTTAGTAATTTAGACCCGTTGGTCAACCTTCATTTCTTTTTTTTTTTTTTTTTTTTATTTTTTGACAGGCAGAGTGGACAGTGAGAGAGAGAGACAGAGAGAAAGGTCTTCCTTTGCCGTTGGTTCACCCTCCAATGGCCGCCACGGTTGGCGCGCTGCGGCGGGCGCACTGCGGTGATCCGATGCTAGGAGCCAGGAGCCAGGTGCTTTTTCCTGGTCTCCCATGGGGCGCAGGCCCCAAGCCACAGGGGGCCAACCCCCAAATAGGCGTCCCCTGCCACATGCGAGAAGGTTGGGCGTGAAAGAGGGCCAACAGGA